TTTAATCAGTAATTTTTTATTTTTTTTTTATTTTTTTTAGTTTGAAAAATCACCAACAAAATATATTTTAATTTTAATTAAAATAATTTGTATCAAAAATGTTTTTTAAATGTAATTATTATTTTTGGTAAATGTAACTAATTTTTTGTTATATTTGTTTAATTTTATAGATCTAAATACTTTTTGGTTCAAAAAAATGTTTAGGGACTTAATCGTTTAAAATATGAATGTTCATTAAGTTTTTTTTCTGGATTTTTTCCATTATTTTATCACATTAACTAGTTGTATAGGTCATAAGAATATATATCTAACAGGTTTTAAAAAGTCCAAGAAGTTATTTAACATGTTTTGGAATGTCCAATGATTTATTTGTTCCAAAAAATTATCTAATAACTTAATCATTTCAAACACTAAAGTCCATTGATTTTTTTTAGATTTTTTCCAAACCTTTAATCAAAAGTTGGTTGTAATGACTTTCAACAAACAAAATGATAAGAAAAATAATTTCGAAACAAATAGTGTTTGTGTTGTTGTATCAACAACTTTTAGTACTTCTACTAATTTGTACATTCATTATTTATGATTATATTCGTATCATTTCTTGTATTTTTAAACATTTATTAAAATGTTAATATTAATAATTTATAATTTAAATATATAAAAACATAATAAAGGTATACTATATATATATAACGGTTAATAGTTTAAATTTGACAGGTATTAATCTTTATACATTGCGTACCAGTTTTGAAGCTAAATACCTGCTATTAAACTTTCACGTTTTCAAGATAATATTAAAATCAAATAATTTTTGTTTTTTAAGTACACTTTACACTCTTATAGTTAGTTATTTAATTTACTTTATATCAATTTGTTTTTAATTTTATACATTATCATATTATCATACATAATCGTATATTAATTAAAATATGTTTCACTTTTTACAAATTATACCATTATAATCGTCTCATTAATGACTTCAGAATGAATCTAATACTGAATATTTTTTGATTTAATATCATATTATTAAATAACATAAATACATAGTGAATTATTTTTGAAACTTTCATTTTGTACCTTATAATTACCATATTTAATTTGTTTTATATTACTTATTTTTTTCATTTCTATTTTACACCCTTAATTAACAAATTTAAAGTTGTAGAACCCATAACTTTAAATCTCCACATACCAGGATAATATTAAAGATCAAATATATTTTTTATTTTCAAATTACAATATATACTCTTATAATCAGTTATATAGTTTGTTTCATACCACTTACTTTTCCATTTTTATCATATTAAAACAAATAATCGTATATGAACTTAAATTATTATGAAGTACATTTTTTTTATAAATTACATAATTATAAGCGTCTCATCAACATCTTTAAAATGAATGAATAAGTGAATATTTTAAATATTATCATATTATTAAATATCATAAATATGTAGTGAATTATTTTTAAAATTTATATTTAATTTGTTTTATATTTCTTAATTTACACCTTTATCTATCTATACTATTTATATTATATTATAAAACATGTAAAACGGTTATTATTGAATTTTTAAGAGGTATAAATTTTGATCAGTTATGTACAATTTTTGAACCTTTACAACATCCACGTTCAACATGATAATTAAAAATAAAATTATTTTTTATTATTAAATTACACTTTATACTTTTATAATTAGTTATTTAATTTACTTTAAATATCTTATTTTCCTGTTTTTCATTTTACATCTTCTCATATTAACATATATAACTATATATTAACAAAAATATATTTAAAAACGTTTATTTTTTTATTATAAACCATTATAATCGCTTTTTCAATACATTCAAAATGAATCAAATATTGAATATTATTGAATTTAATAATATTATTAATTATGATAAATATGTATTGATGTTTTTTTATCTTAATTTTTTATTTTACACTTTTATCTATCTATACTATATTATTTATTATTGTTGTTGAATTTTAACTGTCATCTATACATTATTTACAAGTTTCTAAAGCCCCCACCCCATCATCCCCTTCCTTTCCGACATTATAAAGTAGTACTATCTACACTTAATATTCACTCATCAAATATTTTATGTTTTCAAGACGATGTATATTAAAGAGGCTAATTAAGTATTTTATAGATGCAATAAATTGCTTAAATTCACAGAGTAATTTCAAGATTCAATATATCATGTTATTTTACATAGTTCTATTTTGATAAGTTCGCCTTATAGTTTTTTCTTGTTTGAAAAGTATAATACTATGATATTTGGAATGTTTACAAATACCGTTGACCTTTCAAAAATGGGATGAAGACTGAAGTTGTCAAAACAAAATCTTCAAATTCTTTTCAGATTTAAAGATGAACCATCTTCTTCAAAAAAATCCCCTATTTGATGGATGATTTTTATAGGCTTCAACTTTCGTTTCTCATATAATTATCAAAATATCATTTTACCTACAAACAACGTCATAATTTAAAGAGTAGAACATTTTACAAATAATTAATTAATTTTTTTACAAGAAAGTTTTGCATTTAGTTGCGTTGCAGTGGACACAAAACTAGTGTGTGTGTGTATATATATCATGTCCAAGTCATTTTTTAATAAATAATGTAAAGTATTGTTACTTATGCTATATTATAAATCATTTGACAAAAACTCTTAMAAACTATTTTTTATGCATGAAATACTGTTTATTAATGCATATTACTTAAAATTCAAAATTACAAGTAAAATATGCCTAAGTACAACTTACTAAAGCTTCATGTTTAAATTCGTGTAACTAACTGCAGATAAACATAACCAAATAGAGGATAAACATCTCATTTTAAATAAAAAAAATCTAAAATATAATTAGAATAATTATTGAGTTATAACAAAATATTTAATTATTATATTTATAAAAATTTATATTATTAAATAAAAAAATGAATTAAAAAAATATATAGAAAAAGTTGAAATTTTAAATAGTTAGTTTAATATTAATATCAATATTATTTTTTTCAAAATTTTATGATATATTAATTTTTTTATTTATTTAAAAATAAAAATATTACTGTTTTCTTAAAACCACATAAAATTATGTTATAACATCGATCGAAACAAAAATAGATAAAATGAAACATTAAATCAAAATGTGCAAATAACCTTTTGGTACATAATAAAAGATGAAGTCCACGGGGAGTAATGTTGCATGAAGAAACCTCAAGGCTAGGTCCCCATACCGGCTAGTATGCCATCGATGCGACGTAACTCATGGACGATCTTGCTGGAATCCATTCTTTCTCTCGGAGATTCCATGGAGCATGCCACCCCTGTTCTCGCCAATGAAATCATGCCCTCTTCCAATCTCTTCCATCTTCTCGCTTCATCATCACCGGATCGACGATTGACATTTGTAGCTTCCATCTCTTCCTCCAGGTCATGCAGGAGTGCCGGTTCAACGATTTCCATAAGCTGATCAGGCAACGCCATCATCAYATAGCCATGGAGGTTCAACCCTTCTTCAAAACCCTCGTCTGTAGGCCTCTTTTCTGTTATCATCTCCAACAACAAAATCCCAAAACTATAAATATCCCCTTCTTTTGTCATCTCACTTCCAAGACCATACTCTGCCAACAAAAAAACAGAATTAGGGTTCTAGAAAAAGATTGTAATGTGTTTAACTTTCTCAAGTTCAATTTATCGATTACCTGGAGCTGCATACCCAATAGTTCCTCTTATTCCAATCGAACTGCTTTCATGAGGTTTTAATGGAAGAAACTTTGCCAACCCGAAATCGCCAATGTGAGCAACCATGTCATCGTCAAGTAAAATGTTGCTTGGCTTCAGATCACAGTGAATTATGGGTGTCTCACAGTCCTGGTGGAGGTAGTGGATGGCATTAGCCACATCCATTGCAACTGTTACTCTTTGGCGAAGGCTTAATCTTCGTTCGGTCTCCGTTTCTTGTCGTGGAGATGGATGTAGCCAACTTTCGAGACTCCCATTTGGCATGAACTCATAAATAAGAGCTTTGAAATCGTTACCTTGAAAATCAACAGATGAGCAGGAAGTAATGATTTTTACAAGATTACGATGCCTTATGTTTTTCAATGCTTCACACTCYGCCATAAAACTCTTCAGAGCTCCTCGGTTTCCAAGCTTTAGAACCTTGATAGCAACCATTGCAYCACCTGCTWCAAGGATACCCTTATAAACAGCRCWGAAAGTTCCCGTCCCAATCAGGTTTCGTTCGGARAATTCATCMGTAGCTTTGAGTATGCTTCCATAAGAAACCCTTGAAAATGGTTCCACAAGTGAAGCTCCTGTTGGCGGCTTTTGCCTTTTYCTTYTTTKCCAAAMAAACAACAAAGACAATGCGATTGCYASAACTAGAAACGAGCAAAGTGGGATGACAACTAGAATAACATGGAAACYTTTCTTTGATCTTGCTACCAGGTCACACTTGGGTAACCGAAGTTCAGGAACGCCTCCACATAGCCTATTGTTCCCATCAATTGAGATCACACTTGCATTCTTGAAAATACCTCCCATTGGTACCTCCCCATCAAGATTGTTAAATGATAAATTCAACAAAGATAAAGTTAGTTGCTCTAAGGGTCTTGGGATCCGTCCGGAGATATTGTTACTAGAAAGATCAAGGATCCTGATACCTTTTAAATTACTCATCCTGAGAGGTATTGGACCCTCAAAGGAATTTGCTTTCATATCTAGGTATTCAAGGCTTTTGCAGCTTCCAATGGCATCTGGGATTTCTCCGACCAAATCATTCTTTGATAGATCAAGTGTCTTCAAGTTAATGAGGTTTCTTATCTCTTGGGGAATTAGTCCAGTTAAATGGTTTTGAGCAAGATTTAGTATGATCGACAGGGACGACAGTTGAAATAGCTCTTTCGGTATTGGACCAGTAAGATTGTTTCCAGAAAGGTCCAACGTTACCAAACGTCTGCAGTTACCAAGATCTCGAGGTATTTGTCCCTCTAATCTATTGTCATTCAACCACAATTCATTCAACAATGACATATTTCCCACAGAATCTGGAATGCTCCCAGTGAAGTTGTTTTCATGTAGGTATAATAGTCTTAGGTTTTGAAGATTACCAATTTCACTAGGAATTATGCCTGTGAATTGATTACGTTCCATAATTAATCGCTCTAACTTCACAAGATTCCCAATCCCAGAAGGCAATAAGCCATGTATTAAGTTTTCATGAAAAGATAGAACTGTAAGTTGAGATGATAGATTGCCTAAAGAACTAGGAAGAACTCCTCTTAATTGGTTTTGATGAACAAGTAACAGTTCTAGGTTGCTACAATTGATCATGGTATCAATGAAGTTCATATCATCAGGTTCAGAACTTCCTAAACTGTTGTTAAATAGCCCAAGATGACTAAAATTTGGTATGTGTCTGAAATTTATGTTAACTTTCCCAGTGAAACTGTTCTCAGCTAAGCTAAGCTCTTCCAAGTGTGAACAATTAGAAAGTGAGAACGGTATGCTTCCTGTAAGTCTATTTCCCCATATCTCGAAAATCTCAAGATGAGGTAGCTGCAAGCCTATATCTTTTGATAGACCTCCACTGATTTGATTATCTGGGAGACTAAGAACCGTTAAAGATGTTAAATTGTACAAGGATGGAGGGATCATACCATGGAGTTGGTTCTTACCAAAACCCATATTTTGCAAATTGTACAATTGACCAAAAGCATCTGGAATATTTCCTCCTAGACGATTGTCGAAGGCTGATATGGCTTCAAGAGAAGTTAGGTTTCCCAAGAAAGATGGTATTCCTCCCGTGAAACTGTTAGCATGAAGGGTTAGGATCATGAGGTTCACCAGCGAACCAAGCTGTTGTGGGAGCTTGCCAACTAGTTTATTGCGAGCCAACCAAAGTTCGTTGAGGCTAGTGCAGTTTGACAAACTGGCCGGAACTTCACCTTCAAAAGTATTGTTCATGAGAATTAGCCTCTGCAATCTGAATAAACCACCTAGTTGAGGTGGGATTACACCATTGAAGGTATTATGCCCTAGACTTATGACTCTGAGAAAGGTCAAGTTCCCAATATGAGGAGACAAGGAACCAAAAAGGCCTCTAGATCCAAGATCCAATTTGGTGACTCTAGGATGGCGGCGACCACATGTAACACCTTGCCATTGGCAGAAATGGAGGGAGGTGTTCCATGTGTCAAGAACTCGTTGTGGATCATTGCTGATGCACTTCTTGATGGCCAAGAGCGAAAGGTGATCAGTGTGGTTTCCGGCAAGCGTAGGGGGCCATAACAAGACTGCTATTACTGCATGGAAGAAGAGAGAGAGGCATGCCATGAACAAGTTTCTTTTATGTTTTATGACACATATATTTGTGGGATGGTTTTTTAAATAGCTATGAACTGAAATTGAAAATAAAGTTTTGCCCAAAAACAGTAATATATGATGGGGACTGAAGTGAAGTTCTTTTGGATTGTGACCAAGTCTTGGTCTTGTTTGAAAGAGTGTTTTGGACGCTCACTAGATTGAAAGTGGAAGCTCCATTAATCACTGATGGAGAAATACTGTGTGATGATTCTTAATTGATGGTCATGAATGCATTGTTGAATGGAAGGATAATTGAGGTTGAAAAAAGAAGTCACGACTCATTTGGCAAAAAAACAGATTTCTAGTAGGGGAAAAATTCTCAATTTATGGCAGAGACCAAGAAATGATCTTTAGTTTCTTGGTACAGCATTTAAACTTGATCTAAACCTCCATGGTTAGACTGTACATTACAGTTGAACTTGATTTAAGCAGCCATGGTTTATCAACAATATTTGATCTCGTCCTGTGATTTAAGAACAAAAGTGGAAACAAAAACCCATTATTTAGACAAGTTCTATTACATTTTTTGGTTTAATCCCTTCAATCATAAAAAATTTGCAGAACCATCTTTTGGATGAGGGGACTTTACCCGAAGAGATGCAACAACCGTGTCACTCGTTTCAAACTCGTATTACAAATTTGGTTTACGAATATTTAAGGGCACCTTAATAATTAAACGGGTGAACTTTTAAGACACATTTTTTTCCTTGCGATAATCGAACGAGTGGATGTATGGGCTCCTGCTTAACCCTTAATAGGTTCGCTAATAAGCATTTTTCTCTATTTTAAGAGTTTGATTAAATTTTGTTATGTTACTCGTATTGGAACTTGTTATGGTATAGAGTACAACCTTTATGGTTATAAATATATCATCTGAAATGAAGTAAATTGGTATTGCTTCCAAAACCATCAATACAAATTACAAGATAAGAAGAGCATTCCACTTTTGGGTAACATAAACAACATAAACAGTAATTCTTTTTCAATGGATATCTGGGTAGCTTTGACATCATAGGTAACTTGTTTCCCAACAATTCTTGATCTACCAAACTATTTGCTTGATAACTTTTTAGAGTCGATAAACAATCCAAATTTTTAAAGCGTTGAATGGCGTCCGAGTGACAATTTGAGTCCCCTTTAAGGTATAAGACGCGCAGAATACCATTACAGCCACACGCTTGACGGTGATACGATAATTTCAGGTAACAATCCATGAATTTGAACTAATAACATCAGGAGAGAAGATGGCAGAATGTACATGTTTCAAATGCAGCAGGTTAATCATCTTGATCACTTCCACCGATATGTGCTTCATGACTAACCCAATAATTGCTTCCTTCAGGACCAGAAAGCTTCAACCTGCATAAACTCAAGATGATGTTGCCTAAATCAACACAAAAAATCCATATCTGGGTACTTACTGCTATTTGGGTACTAACCGTTCCAGAACTGATTTCCCTTCTTTGTACTTTTGGTTCTTATCATGTGCGGTTTCCTGAAGCAAATAAATCGATTATAAACACATTTAAGAACATTACCCACAAATCTCAAAATTAGAATTCTTATCTTACATATGTCCATCCAACAATTGATCCACATTTGACGCAGAAAATGTCAGCAACTGTGTGCAGCCCAGTCATCATCAGTCTATCTTCCTTGGCACCAACAGTCACATTTACGCTGTAAAACATGTGATGGTTCTCAACAAACACAAGGAAATATAACATTACCGGCAGATCACAAGATTTAACTGTACCAACTCTCAAAAATCTTTACTAATAAAGCATTGCAAATTTGTAATCATATGAAGTATAGCCAACTTCTATATCTTTGTGGTAATGCAAAGTAGCAGCCGTATAGGCAAGAAAGTATTGGGATTGATGAGTTAACTTACACCTTACTGAAGAGATAAGCCTTTCCATGCTTGCACTGGAAGGTCTGAATGAAAGTAAAGAAGGAAAACTTGTCAGCGAAGTTCTCTAAACTAGGCAAGCGGACACCATAACCAAACAAAACCAAACTAATAGAGTAAAACAATTGTGCTTATATCTTCTTTCACATATACTCGTAAACAAACCGAAGCTTTAGTAAGATTGTGTGATAACTACGTGTATATCAGAGTAGAGCCCTCATAAACAATGATCACCAATAGATTCACACAGAATCCCTCATAATAATCAGCATTCTCCGATCTTAAAAGCATACATTCATCCATACTCATAAACAAAGAACCCCATGAATGAAAACTCATTTGGTGTCAAACTCAAACGAAGCACTTCTTTCAGATATAAAATTGATATATGTGATACATGATGTAAGAGTAAAGTTATGAAATCTTGTACGTGACTCGAATTTTCTTCATAAACAATCTGATTATTTTTTCTTTTGTGTAATTTGAGATGTAATTAACCGCCTTAGATGGAGATCCATCATCATCCACTTGAGTTCGTATAATTTCTTCGAACAGAAACACACAGGGCAAGGCAATCAAGTAAATTAATCCCCAATCTAAGCAAGGGTTACTGAAGGTATTTAGGTCAAATCAGAACAAAATCTCCCAGTAACTTACGAGTTCGATGAAAATCCCGATTCAAAACATTTGAACTTCAATTCATATGATACGTAAAAGATCATTAATCAGTCCATCAATCAAGATTTTACGAATGTATGGAAAAAATCAAAAGAAGAATCAGGCGATCATCTTGAAACCCCAGAAATTAGATCGGAAAAATGGATCAGAAACAAGATATGACAGTGAAAAAGAATTAGAAGGAATAGGATAGGACCTTTGAAACGATATCATCGCAAAGAGCAAGATGGGTTCTGCAGTGTTTACAACTGTAGATTTTGCCCTCCAACGTTACTCGAAAGACTCGACCCATTTCTCAGACGACGGTTGATGGAAGAATCGGAGAAGAATGATGGGTAATGGACGGAATCAATCAACATAATATTCCACGCAATCGGTCCCCAGGATATATACGCTTTTTGTTCAAAACTACTCTTCGTGGACCCAACTTCATAAATCGTAAATTATTTTGGAGTTCTACATTTTTTACTTTAGAGTGAATTACATCTTTAGTCCTTGTGTGAGGCTTCGATTTTCGATTTGATCCCTAAAGTATATGAATAAATTTGTCTGTATAAATTATGAATGTTTTTGTTCGGTAAGTTTTTTTCATAGACGATGGAATGAGCGTGTTTTCAATTGAGAATTTGGGATAAACAAGTTTGAAAAAACTTGACTTTCTACATAAAACTTTCCCCTATAATCTTACTGAATAAGTTACTATCTATATCATAAAGCAACCACTAAACGGTCATGTATAGTTGACCGAATAAGTTGTGAGTCTCGTTAAACTCATTAAGTTGCTAATAGATAGATCCTAAGTATAGTTTGTGTACAAAAAGTCATATGATAATTAGAACCAAACTTACAACTTATTATCACACGCCTACAACGTAACTCAAAGTGTGAAATCCACAATATTAATTGGTAACCACGTTTAAATTCAAGATAAACATTGAGTAATATAAGGTATGATACAACCCTTTACATTTGTACAACCAATACAACTCAATCTCAACCGTCCATTTAATTTGATGAATAAGTGATTTTATAAAAGTTTTGATTGTTTTCTAATATATAGTATTGATCATAATTAATGAACTCTGATCATATTCCATAAATATTCAAATCATAAAAAATGAACTCAAATCATCTCCATAAATAACGTACTTGTACATTCCATTGGAAATGAAAAATAGAATTTGAAGTTTTTAATCAAACCAGTAATAAGCTTTGTGCATAGGAAGGTTTATCAAAGATTTTGTTAATCTGTTGCAGGTACATAGATTAACACAAAACAGAAATGCTGATCAAAAGTTATACAGTTTTACAAAGCATTTCAAAGCTTCTAATAAACATAACTCTTAATATCAAGCAAGCTTCTAACAAGTTTATCTTCCTCAACTGGTACTTTCGCGGTTTCGCAATGCAGAATCCACAAGTTTCACCTTTTTCGTGTTTTCACTGTTGACAATAGAAAGTTTCGCGATCGAGGACTTGAGGCGGGAGATCTCATCATCTTCGGCATTTCCCTTCCTCCTCCCCGGGATTTGCCTTCGTTGGTTAGGTCTCTTGTGTTGTGGAGAAGATGAATGTCGTTTTACCCGACCATTTATAGCTTCTATAGTTGTGCGTAATGCATCCAATTCCAATCCTCTAAATCTGTCTGCATAAAATGAACAAAACCAGGTTCAGAGTGGCACTTCCAGGAATTATCAAGTTCCACAATCAAATGAACATCAATCAGATTCAACTGTCAGAAACAAATTCCTTTGCTCTTTGGGATAGAGGTCAGGTCTGCGTATGTCCTGCCCTCCAAGGGTGAGATATACTGGGATAGTTTTACTTTCAGTTTTGATATTGGTTTTGGTTTCGGAACTTACCAAGCTCCATCTTGAACTCTTTTTCTGCTTTCGACAATGGTTTCTTGTGGATCCCTGGTAGGTTTCTTAGGTTCAACAAGCGCTCTTCCAAGAGGTTATGGGTCTGAACTGCACGATCTATTCGGTTCTCCAGATTTTCTTGTTTCTCTTCAACCTTTGCTAGCTTCTGTTGTGCCTCACGTAAACGAGCATGCTGGTCATCAATGATTTTCTTTAATTGAGGCCCATGGTGTTTCAGCTCAAAGTAAACCTAACAAACCACGACGTAAATATTTAACAGTGGCAAAAGATTCAAACTTTGGATGCTATAGAACAGAAAAAAGTGCTTGAAACCAATGAAATGATGATATCACCATCAAGATCAAGAACTTACTTCACAAGTTTTAGAAAAAAGTTGAATCTTGTATTAAAATACAATGGTTTGCAAATGTTACCTTATGTGCATACTCCACATAGTTCTCATGGAAAAGCTTGAAGTATTGATGAAGAGTAGACCTCCCTTCAATGGAGTCTGTGGCAACAGGGTTTGGTGAGGTAGGAGGCACAAGAACCGCCTTCGGACCAGTGAGTAATTCTTTGCTTATAATAGTAGCATATCCGGTTTCTATAGGCTCTTCCAGGTCCACAGATTTCTTTTGTTCATCAATATGAGCAGGAAGCAAAAGGTTCCAACTTTCCATCCCTAATACTATGCACTCGAAAGCAGAGGTGAGTCCCACGATCCACGAGCATCCAAACGAGTCCGATAATGCCACAAAACCACAAAGAGGAGAAGCCGAAGATTCCATCTGGCAAGTACTTAGAACCGACTGGACAGATGGTGCTCTCATGTCGTCATCTATGCCATTTTTCTGATTCGTAAAAGGAAGAAAATGCAAAACTATTGAATCCACCCCTCCATCATGAATGGAATATATTCGCTCGGGTATAAGGGGATCAACAAACATCGAAATTAAAGAACCCGTTTCGGTTTTTCCAGGTAAAGCTAAATCTACAGTCCCCAACCTCAAAAGTGGCGGTGAATGTCCCAACCAAATATCATGGTCGGTTGATTGGTCTAGTGTCACAACCGAGAGCTCATTGGAGTGTGTTTCGCAAATCATGGCAACGCCAACTATTCGATCTTGAGAATCAACAGACAAACGAGGCTGATTACCCACGATCCAAACGGGCTGGATTTCATCGGCCAATGCATCTATCTGTAGCTGCCCACTACTCCAAGCCATAACAAGAATCGAATCTTTGCTTACTGCCTTGTAAAGAAAACCGACGGCTCGCCCTTCACATTCGGCAACCTTCAACTCAGAATCTTGTTCCTTCCCGTGGTAAACTTTATGAAGAGGACCCTTTAATTTTAAGAAAAGTTGTGTCAAACATTACAGTTTGCATAAATAATCAATTATCTTGATATGGGCCATTCAACAACTATGAACAGTTAAGAGGTATACCTGCAATGAAACAGATGCATCATATAAAGCATAAGGATGGGATTTTAGTGCAGGTTGATTCCCGCCTTCCGCTGCTTGTCGAGCCAACTCAGGAAATGTAGCTTCTAACCAAGAAATTGCCAAATTGGCATTACTAACAGCTGTTGAGCTAGCAGCTTTCAGTCCAAATGTCTGAGCATCAATATAAATCTCCAATATAGACTCCCATTTATACACACTGTCACAGTGGAAATAACTCAAGCAGGTTAATTTCAACTATTAATTATCAACATCGAACAAAAGAACATAAGTACATATATTTTCCACACTTTCTCTAGATAAGGAATATTTTAATTACATTGAAGGATAAAACACTTGCGAGAACAAATCAGCACCTAACATATAATTGCAACTTACCTCCCAAACGGAACAACTGGACATAGGATGTAAACTGCACCATCACTAAATAAAACAAAAACCTGCAGAATTGAACATCATCAATAGTAGATATAAAAGAACTGCAACAAGATTGAAAACATTTAGTATTGGCAAATGATCGCTGCTAAAATATAAACAAAAGCCCATCAAGATTTAAGAATAATGAAACAAGCTACATACACTAAATCGATCCCACAAATGGTCACCGCCAAAAGAAAAGTCAACAGGGCATATTGATGAAGCATTCCTTAATCTACCACGTTCAACAGGCTGTAAATAATATTCCTGCTCGGGTTGTTCAAGAGCCGAGGACAAATCATAAAGCCTACATAATATGAGATAAAACAGTCAAATTACAATTGAATACGAACACAAAGTATTTGATGGAAGGTCTAAACTAACAGCTTCCTCCTATAACTGCATCAATAGTTCTATTTAGTGCACAAATTGGTCTGGCAAATTTTAGTGCAATTCAAGTACTAGATATTCTCAATAAAGAATGTTCTACCTGAAAACTGAATCAGAGGATAGAATTCCAAGATGAGTGTCACTATAAGGATGCCATGAAACTTTTAAAGTCCTGATGGCATTGTTTGTGTTGAAGTAGAGATCTGAGCCAACAGAGACCGTCCTGCAGATCAGTAGACCAAAATTGTTTTCAAAACCATGGTTTGTAACCTAATATGATATTTGAATGGGTAATAACTGTGATAGAGCATTTTATAATAAAACAATTTAGATTAAAACGCAAGTTCAAAATAACTGCTTACACCTAGATTTTACTACCTGCAGATAACAGCACTATCTTTTGATGAAGGGCGACCATACAGGTACATAATGCGTAACCCATCTGACCCCTCCAAGAGTAACGCTGATCCATGTCTGTTGATGGTAATTCTATCTACCATGAAATTCAGCTCCACATCTGCTCGCAATACCTATAACATAAACAACATCAAGATAAGGAAGAAAGCAAACACAGTACCGCTTTCATTTTCCTCAAATCTCATGTTCATTTTGTGGGTCGCATCTCACAAGCTCTCACATCATGAACATGGGATCCACAAAATGAAAATGGGAAAATGAACAAAAAAACCTAAATGAATGAACCTTTGGTAGTTAGGAAAGCCTAAAACCATATAGTGCATGGGAAAATTTATGAATCTTGCTGCGGACAATTTCTCAAGAATTGTCCATTAATCTCCTTTATACATTATTGCATGTTACTTCGATGATGAAAGATGGAAGTTCCATCTTTCATCAGTTTTAAATATATGCTTCTAGTGGGTATGAAATGATCATCTACAGCAACTTTCTCCAAGTAACACCAAATTACAGATTTGCTAATCTACCATAAATGATAATCTAAAAACCAGTGAAGCTTTCAGGTAAATGTAAAAGTTCATAGTTACCATGTTAGGAAGAAAAGCAAGAAGTGCATGCATGCATTTATATGTGAACCGAGAGAAGCAAGATTTTTATGACTTTGAGCAATGAACATAAGATAGAAAAACTGCAAAAGATTCAAGAGTCTAATCTAAATGATGCAGATCGCTTGTCTTGGTTGCCCATGGTGCTCTCAAAGCAGAGTATATTTCATCATGTTAAGAAATTCACATTCCCAGTAGTTCAGGCTACTTCTGCAACACCCAGATTCCATCCTTTTAACATTTTTTCACGTATTCAGTACCATTACAATAAAAAAACATGTTAAGTACAGAAGATTGGGGAATCCCATGACGTTAATAAATAATAGAACTACGCACTCCATATATGAATTTCTTGTATGTTAGCTTAACAAACGTTATAACTTTATAAGATAGCAAGATTTCCAGTGGATTAAAAAGCACTTAGTTATGTTTGATATCAAGAAACTGAATCCCTCATGAAGATTAAAATGGGTTGACATTGTATCACTTAGAAGGAGAGTGCGCATCAGCCAGTGCCCAGACAGCTGTAATTCTGAAATCATTGATACTTCTAACAGTGGCATTTCAAGAAAACCTACCACAAATTCTTAGCTTCAATTGCTAAGATGCTATAGAACATCTATTAAGAATAAAAAAGATTGGGCGACTAGACAACTAGAGACCATTCATCTGCATTTCTAAAATCTAGATTGTTGACAACTGCATTAGTCAACTTTAGATTAAAATACCTCATCCATTGAGAGGGGAAAAGAAAAGAGGGGCGGGGGTTCAATTGTATTCTTTATGTCAATTTCGTATATTCATCGTGATGCAAATTCAACCCCCATCAAGTTCACTGTATGTTGGTGATTTTAGTGTCACCGGTTACATTTAGTGTAATGGATTTTATACGTGTGTTTCAAGGGGATTGAACTTCGTTCTAAAACAAGTATGGAGAGTGTGGAGTGCACACTTGTATTAGTCTAATTCGGTCCCGGTAATATTTAGGGGGCAACACCCCCTGAACGCAAAACGGGGGTCCTGCTTTATAATGAAAAATTCTTGAATTTTCTGTGGCATGATTGTGAATTCTATAACTTGGTAACTCCCGTTTTGAGTTTTGATATCTAATTTCGGATGATCAGTTTTTTTGGGCACACACGGAAGATTGGAAATACTCTATATTCTCTCTAGTTTTTGATCTTGATTTCGACCAAAATCAAGATTGTTGCTTTTACAATTATCCCAATTCGGATTTCGTGATACCAGGCATATACGGTCGAAATATCGAATTTGGAAAGTGATTCACACGATTGTAGAAGAAATCCGGTTACGGTTTAACACTGTATCACCGAAGTTCTTGAAAGAAATTCAAGAAGTTAGAAACCCATTCGAAATCCAACATCAAAACAAACCAGTTTCTAAGATGTCATATGATCATGAAAAAGGTAGAAATATAAACTTGATAAGAGGTAGTACGACCTTAGAAGGGGAAGCAGCAAGGACAGAAGTGGAGTCTGGTTCGCCGAAGCGAAGAGAAATTCTATGTAGGGACTGCGTGTTAATGTCCCAGTAGTAGAGACGAGAAGCTCCATCCCAAGCCATGAGATTCCGTTTCCTCGGAACATTACTCGTTGTACGGACGACCGTGCCGCTGGAGAAAATTGGGTGGTTCTGAAGGGGAAGCCATTCCACCTCGTCGTTTGCCGGAGTAGCCGATGAAGGCGACCGTGACTGTGACGGTGGTGTTAGGGCATCTTTGTTGCTGGGTTCTGGTATATCGAAATTAAACCTCATTTCTTTGTAAGACTCGCCGGATTCTTTTTCGCCTTTTCTCTCCTTTTGTAAGACTCAATGGGGTTTCTTTGGTGAAGTTCAAATCACCGGCCGGTGAATCCCTCCTCTTTGGTTGCTTGAATTGTGTGCAGCGAGCATACGAAGTATTAGAACGACGCCGTAAGGTTGAATCATTTTCGTTAAAATACTGAAAGCCCCTCGAACTATTTTAGTTTTTCATAATACCCCTTCGATATTTACTAAATAAAAAAAACATTTTAAAAAATTAATAAATTACAACATTTTATAATATAACTAAACAAATCCCAAAAAATATAATATAATTATATTGAAAATGAGAACAAGTTTAAATTATTTTGAAAATACATAACTTAAAATAGAAATTGGATCGGATTACATTGCATTTTACCAACGGAATTTTATAAACTTAATGGGATTTAGAAAATGTAAAGATTGTCGAAAACGAGGGGGCAAACTGTAAACCTCGAATAACTTGGGATTTTGTAACCAAACCATTAGCAACTGAGCGGACAGAGATTTTGTAGGCACAGAGACGTCTCCGGAAACCCTCAAAAGCTTTAAGCAAGATAAAGAACGACGGAAACGACAATCAAAAGCAGAACCACTGCGAAATGGCGGAGAAACTGGCACCTGAAAAGCGTCACAGCTTTTTTCATGGAAGTACGTCACTTTCTGCCCTATCTTTAATTCAATCTTTTGCAGTTAGCCGATTCGAGGGAAATTAGTAATATTTGTTAGGGTTTCGTGACACGGTGGTATGAAGTACGCTTGATATTCTGAAATGAGTTGTTTTTTTTAGGTCAGAAGGTTTTCGAATGGGATCAAACCCTAGATGAGGTGAATATGTACATTACTTTGCCGAAAGAAGTGCCCACCAAGTTGTTTTACTGCAAAATTCAGTCCAAGCATGTTGAAGTTGGAATCAAAGGCAATCCTCCGTACCTCAACGTCTGTAGCCTCTTGACCCGTTTATTTTAGAAGTTGTTATGTAAATAAGTGTAAATGTTTTTTTTATGGTTTATATTGCTTATCCGGTACAATTTTTGCGTGGGTTGTGCAGCATGATTTGTCTTCGCCTGTAAAGACAGATTCTTCATTTTGGACTATTGGTACGCTTTTCCGTTTAATTTAGTACTCCATAGAGTAGAGAATGATGCAATGTTGCATGCTGGGATGGAGGTAAAAACAAATGGAAAAACTACATGTTCAAATGACTTATTGGAGTTCTTTGCTCAGTCTTAACCATTGAAGGCAATGCTTTGGAAAACTGAAAATTTATTAAAATTGCTATCTTCATTGCATAAAATTGATCTGTATGCTAATTTTTGGGTTCATACCTAGTAGATGTGTTGCATATTTAAAGCCCCATATTTGTCATTTTGAGCACTTCTGTAGTTTATTGTGGTTCTTAAAACCCCCAAAAGCCAAACATTTGATGACAGTTTCAAAAGTTGAAAGTTCATTCGGATATGCAAGATAAAGTGTACCTCCTTTTTGGAATACAAAGGTGCATAACATAATATCTTAAATTCTGTGACCAAACTTTTGTTTGACAGTCTACACATTCTTCCCATTTAAAAATAGCTTCTGCTTTCCAAAAACTGGCAGGTAACCCCAAAGTTGAGCTGGTGATTGTTCCATAATATAACTTTTTTTGCTTCGTTTTTTTTATTTATTGTCGAAGAGCATGTGAGCAATCATAGAGTGATACCCCAAACTCTCTTGTCCTAGGGTCGCATGTTTTCTGGGAACAACATTAAGGGAGGAGATTGCCTTAATCGCCAAGCAAAAAAAAGGAAATGGGATGGTACAGGAGGCAACATTAAGCATCAACTCAATAAATTAAGAAATTATCTTTAATTGACAAGAGTCAAGACCAACCGCATCCTACTTACAAGTGAAATTGACATAAAATTAGGAAACTGGGCCTGGGAGGTGAAGGCTCCTTCAAATTGAACAACTTGGGAACTAGCATTGAATCTTTTAGCGGATGATTACTTTGTTTAGGAATATGATGTACAAAGGAACCGGGGAGCAGTAAGCTTTTAATTTCGCTGACGGTGTACATTCTATCATAGGAGACATCAATGTAACCATTCAAACAATCAAGGGATCAACCAGAACCTACAAGTCACTTCTAATGATATGTATCTGAAGCTGATGCTCAAAAGGGTGCATCCTTTTTAATGAGCTTAAGCTTCTGCTATACTGTTAGTAGGCTTTATAGAATGTTGATCTTTGACCAGTCTCCATTGATACAATTCCATGAACAGACAAGCCATATGTATTGGTTTTGGAGATGATTAGTTGGGAGGATATGAAGTTTAACGATAGGGTTGATAAATGCAGATGATGGGCAAACAAGAATGCTATTATATGCTTCTACATGGGAGATTCTATGACAAACATGTACATTTAAGCATTCTCTGCATTGATCATAATTCAAACCTGTGAAGCAATATTATGCAATAAACATTGTTGGTATTGTTTTTCCTGCTAAAATTCCCAATGGCGATTTGCTACTTATTCTAAACCTTAAATTATGATTAATTGAAAACAGCTGTGTAAATCAATGTCATTGTAATACTTGGTAATAATGCAGAGGATGATATATTGCACATTACTCTGCAAAAAAGGGATAAAGGTCAAACATGGCCGTCTCCAATAGCAGGACAGGGTCAGCTTGACCCTTATGTGGCGGATCTCGAACAGAAGCGTCTCATGCTTCAGAGGTTTCAGGAGGAGGTAAGCCTGAATTGCTATGGATAGTGCGGCACATTTCCAGTATAATTTTTGTTTCATTGAGATTAAAGATCCAAGTTTGTTTCATATAGTAACCTTCTCAGTCTGTGGTGTACCTAACATTCTACACTTAAGATGGAAAAAATTGAATAGTTGTCACTCACCCCAACGTGGAATAGAATACATTGAATGTTTAATTCCTGATGCTTTCTATTGGAAGAGTTATTACTTGTTAGTTAAACAGAGGATCCTTTGGTTTGTGTTGTGAATGCAGTATCATAGGTTTGTTGGGAGGGGGTCCATAATCTTTGTGTTGCTTTAGTCAGGCTTCAACTCTTGTCCTTTTCTAGGAAATAAAATGGAACATTAGTTTCTGGATTATCTGCAGAGGTTTGCTACTGTAACACTTTTTAACCAGCGTAGTGATTTGTCTACTTTTGCTCACAAGTCGCAACCCTGGTTCACTGTTTTATAACACTGACATTAGTTGGAGTAACTATATATTCTGAACATCCTCCCTGTGCATTGGTGATGTGGATTCACCTAAAATGTTACAGCTATATAGTCATTAAAGTTAAAATGACTGACTTTTATCATGAATTTTTTTGGAGAAGTTTTCATGGGGAGAGGTATATTGAGGTTTGCTATGCAGCTGTTGCAATGGTAGATTAAAAGGACTGATTTTTATGACGCAAGTTTCTAGGAGAAGTTTTCATTGGCATATGTAAACTGTAGACAAAGCTGCCCATAGGAAAGGAACTATGATCTTTACATTGTTCAGGAAATGTTATGGCCCTTTCACTACTCATTTAGTCACGAGAAATTTATATTTTTCCTACAAGTATTGATGCTTTTCCTTTCTTTTGTCTGAAGACAAGATGGAATAACTTTTTACAACTGTAATTTGTTTGTAGTATTTGTGGCCTTTGAACATGTACGGACAATATCAATTTCATGACCAGGCCCCTCTGTTTTAATGGATGCGCCAAAAGTTGAGTACTTTTTACCATTTGGCAAGGTCGTATCTTGTGGTTTTACCTCCCCCCAAGAAACACACACACACACACACAAAAAAAAAAAAACAATTCTATGTTCTAGTTGGTGTGAAAGCTTGATGTGGAGGGGTAGAGGATGTCAAGATACATACACAGAAATATAAAGGTCCATTTGCTTAAGAAATTGAACCTAAGCCTTTCATGATGCACATGACTAAATTAGTCCATAAATATTTGATTGGACATACAAAAAGAAGCCATTGCGTTAAGATATTAATTAAAAGGACTTGCTGCTTGAGGTGTTTTTGTTCCACGCACGAAAGCCCCGAGGTTCATCCAGTAGGGTGCATCCTATATGCTATGTGCAGATAGGTCTTTTCCTTCAGCACTTTTGATGGAAGACCTCAATTAATACTAGTCCTATATATGATCGATCATATATATGCTGTAAATATGTCTAATTATGTATGTTTTTTATTAAAGGTCATTATGCACTTACCTATCATCAATCCCACAGCCTGTCTTATTCATGCTCATTGACAAATGACAAAGGAATACTTTCAGTTCAAGCATTAAACTTAGAATTTAAATTATATTGTTCAATAGAAGATGGAGGCATTTAATTTCACCAAATTTCTGATATGAACAGTAAAAATCTTTTTCTTTATCTTCTTCTAGTTCTATGAGAAAAGATGCAATTTCAAATACTTGAACGGTCGATTCATTTTTTTTCATTTTTTAACCTTGCAGCCAGCATGTTTGATTTTTTAGTTAAGATTTAATACCAAATGGTGTATGCTAAATAAACCCATATCATGTATGTTAATTGTCTTTTAAGATATCTAATGATCTTGATTGAACTATATGCATATCAATACAACAGACTAACTTGTTTGTTTCACAGAACCCAGGATTTGACTTCTCTCAGGCTCAGTTTTCAGGGGACTGTCCTGATCCAAGAACATTCATGGGCGGCATCAGGTCTGATTAGCAATCATCTGTTTGTTCCAGTGAACATGTACATTAAATATCTCAAACCTTGAACCTTAACTAAATAATCTTGTGTTTCTACAAGCATGCTTATAACTGTTTCACTTTGTGCCCACTAGCTTCTTAAATGTTCTTGATTCTAGCTGGTGCCCGTATTGAATACCCATGTTGACATTGTGTGACATTTGTGTCTGTAATCGTACATATCTATTAGTTCCACATTAATATGGCACCCCACACCAGTGCCCTACTTTCGACATGCATGTGCCCATGTTAATAATCTATTTAGAAAACACTCAAGATTACCTAAAAAAGTGGCACAAGTTGATTATGCCACTCTGGTTCCTAATCATGTTAGATGCCCTTCCAAACACACCCACTTAATCTTCTCTGCTGATGTGGTTTTGTTTGTTTGATTATCTTAACCTAATTATGGTGGTTAGATAAGTGTGTCTCATAGTCGCATTGGTTAAACTTTACTTTTAGATCATTGCATCATCAATCAACTGTCTTGTACTGTTTTTAAACAACTTTATGTTGAATTCCAGATAGATCTTGCTTCATAAAGCTCTACCTTTTACCTCATAGGACCATTATTTCCTTTACAAAAGCCAGTAAGATATGCATTCGAGTTTCTGGTTCTTGGTCGACCATCTCTATAATACGTTTACCTTTATGTGTGGGTCCTCCATATATGTGCATGTCTACACCGGTGCCTTTTTTAGGGTTTGGAGGTAGGATGTACACAGAAATTAGCATTACTTCCAGGGATAAAGAGGCTGCTTTGTTAGATTATAACAAAATTATTGACAGCTAGGCACATCCCGATGCTTCTGAGGATGATATTGGTGTTGGTTGCTTTTGTCTTGTGATGAAAAGATTATTAGAGTAGTTTTTAAGCATATCCATCCAGCTACAAGATTTCTTGGTTGGTCATATGCTAAAGGGATTAATAGATATATGTATATGATTATTCCAATGGCACAACTTCGTATGTGTATATAATATTAGAAAGAGAATTTTGATGATATCCTTTGCAATAAATAGTATTCAAAATAGAGACATGTCTTTGGTTAATCTTCAATAATAGTGCTACTACTTTTCCACTCCATATGGTATATATATGGGATTCTCTAATGATGAAAGAAAAATTGCACGATAAATAGTGTTTTAAAGGATATATGTATATATATATATATATATATATATATATATGTGTGTGTGTGTGTGTATAATATGGTAGGGGGATTGAACGTGCTAATTCCTTATTTATATTCAATTTAACACATTTGATACCCAAAAATTTCTTTACACCAAAATTTAGTGTTTAATTTCGAGTGAGATATAGTGGGTTTAGTTTGATCTGGTTGATGCCCAAGTTTGTATTTTGTATTTTGTATTTTGTATTTTGTATTTTGAATATTGCTTGGGATATATCAAATGATCATCGGTATATACGTCTCAGTTTCTAATTATTCGTATTGTATCCAAATATTTGTCTCTATTTATCCATAACTTGTGTGAAAGTTTGAACATTACATAATAAAAGTCGATATTGAAAAAAGGAAAATGAAAATGCCAAAGAACTGTATTTTTTTTTTACAAACTTAATAATTTAAACTTACAAATCAGTTTTCATGTGTTGTATGATATGTATAAAAATGCAGTGTTTATACAATGTTGTTTTGTATGTTAATTTTTTTTTTTTTTGAATATTTCACATATGAAACAAGATTGTATTTATAAAAACGATAATATTGAAGTTTATATAGAATTTCATGAAAAGTAGGAGTTAAAAGGTGTGCCAACAAGAATGTTTATAAGCCTGCTCTTGTATCCATCCAGCTATTATTCCACCACTTTTAGAATCTTTTTTTTTTTTCTGAGTTGTTATATTATATATTCCTGCCTCTGAGGGCCGGCCGCCGGTGCTTTATGCTCTGTCCTGCCCTAGCTCATAACTTTCAGGTGGGATGTGTCGCCACTTTCGACTCATAAAAACCGTAACTTCAAATATATATATATATATATATATATATATATATATATATATTTAGGCCTAATCAAATAAGACTTGTATTGTTTGTGTTAACCTTGACATCCAATTTCAATCACAAATTAAAAGTTAAATTAGGAAATTAATAATTTTGATAATTTTAACTTAAAGTATTAATTAAGGGCATTCTAGGGATTTTATAAATATTCTCTCATCTCCTCTTTCCTCTCTCTGGCGAATCTTATTCGGCGAACTTTATTCCGATGGACCTTATATGAACAGAAGAAAATACTCAATGTGATACTTACAAATGATGTTACTGTAATACCCAGATGTACATACGAGATGCACAATGTGATACATTTTGTAAAGCAATGAAAATAACAAAAATACACACTATGAAATATTTCATAAAACAAGGAACATACATTGTGATACATGTGGAACATTATGAACGTTATTACTATGATACACTTTGATTCACAAACGTCTTTAAAATACGATGAATATTAAGTAATTGATATATTAGGAAACTAATTTTAATTATATATTTCCTTCTAAATAATTTAATTAAATATTTTGATTAGTTGTCAAAAATAAAATTTACTATATTACCCTTTTAGCTTATTTAAGAAATATTTTTAAATATCTCAAATGAGTGGTTCACATTGAATCTCACGGTTACCACAAACTAATCAGTTCTACCTTAATTATATATCATGAAACTTGTGATTCTACTATTTTGAAAAGTGAATTCAATTTATATATGAACTAGGTGTATATGAGCATAGGGGTATGAATAGCAATTCCTTTTGAAATAGATGATAAATCTATGTATACCTCAACCTTGTGGACCTTATTTTCAAATAAGATATATCGTGTTTAATTGATTAGTTCGATTTACGAGTCTTGATGGTTATAAAGTTGATGAGTCGATATAACATCATTTATCATGTATGTACTATGTTATAACGCGTTTACTTTGTCAGATGGCGATTTTTAATAGGGATGGGTTTACATCATTACAGGTCCCAAAGATCATGGAAATGCATTTGCTTGACAAAAATGTGTATTAATATTTCATTTTCTAGTGAACAAAAAAAAAGAATTCTTCTTTACATGTATTTTTCTTTTTTCGTGGAAGACAGATCAAACCCGATACTTGTACCACCACTTCTATAAGCGAAACACAATACAACTCATAGTAGTTTACATATGTACCCAAACGTAAGCGTGTATATAAACGATCTCTCTTGGTTTGTCTCTTCATGTTTGGCCATCAAGTAACGGTTCTCCTTCGGAAAACCTGCAGAAACAGCATTACACCACCATTAGTGCTTGCTTTTGCACCTACCAGATGTCTAAAAATAATATTGAAAAAACAGAGGATCCTAGATTGCCTAAAAAACTAAACCTAACTGAAATCTTGGACAAAAGTGATGATACCCATGTTGGCATGAGCAAGTTGCCAAATGTTTAGGGGTGTAGCACATGGTGATGACTGAATTTGGTTCAAGAACAAGACAGATTGGAGGAAAAAAGTAATCTTTTTTCTGATATCAAGCAATCTGTCCCCTGGGAGAATGTGTTGGCATGGCCATTGATGTATATATATATATATATAATTATATACATAACCGCATGCATGCTTTGATGAGTTGTACAGTACAAGTTGACAAATGCATCCTGGAAAGATTCTGTTACCTGAAACTTGGATATGGGGCAGTGGGTTGGCCATTGAAAAGATTTGGGATGAGATGGGAACAGTTATGCTTTCCCCATTTAGTTTTGGAGTTTCACTTTGACCCTTTCATCTTGAAGAATCTTTGAGTACCTTGGAAACCCATTCTTGAATGTGGACACCTGCAAATCAACATCTGATTATTACCCACTAATCCCTAATCTTGCTCAAATCTTGCTTAAGTTATACCAAAAGGGTTTGCTTGCAATCTCAACTTGTACATCATGCAATAAAAGTTGTACATGATCCCGATTTCAAAATAGGGATTTTACACTACAATACAAACGATATGTGTGTGACCATGACCGTTCATAGACGGTCATAACTGGCTTCGGTTTCCGATTTCGAGAAAATTCTAAAAGTTATAGATATTTCTTGAAGTAAAAGAAAATCATAACGCGTATAAAGTCAATTTCTTGAAGAGTCAAGATCAATTTATTGGCCTACAATTTGGACATTCTCCCTTCTTGCAGTTGGCATGTTATGGTCCATCTGTGGAGGGTCCCTGCATTTATGAGTTGTACATTTACAACATATCCCCATTCCCTTAGTTTACCAAAGTCCTATGAAACATAGCTTTTAGTAAATGTGACTCATTTTTCTTGATTATATTTTAATTAAATTTAATAATCTTGAAATATTTGATAATATAAATTAGTAATAACTCTAAATTCCTCTCAACCTTCGGGATAGTCAACAATGGCCAAACAAGAAAAAACGATTCACGTCTTTCTATAACTGGCTGGGTCCCATTTTTTCAGTTGTTTACAACTGATAGTGCATGAGGTACAAGTTCTTGATGCATGATCGACTATTGAGGTATGAACTAGAAAGAAACTGGATTCGAGGTGGGTTTCTTGATGTGCGTAGTGGGTGTGAATCGTTTATTCGGTTTGTGTATTTGAGATGATTTCTTTTAACTTTTTGTTAATTTTCTGGAGCTATGGAGAATCTGGATTAATGGGGGAAAGTGGACTTACAGCTTCGATGTCGATTTTGTAGACGAGAAGCTTTCGTCGTTCTCTGCAACTAGTCCGGTACGCCACCACGATGTGACCGACGGCCAACGACAGCGAACACACAAACAACGCCACCTCCGTCGCGGTGAAACCACTAGTACTGTTGCCGAACACGTACGCCGCCTTTACCGATACAAACAACAAAGACAACACCGAGCAAACCGTCGTGATTCCCAAGTACGGACCTCTCGATAGCCCCGGACCGTCGCATAGTCCATAGACACCTGACGGAATTAACAAATTTCCGATCATTATTAGCTCAGTGTCATTAATCTAAATTACTAAATTAATTGGAGGTTGTTAAATCAATCACTTACAGAGAATGATGGCGGATCTGATTATGGAGATTATAGGGATATCGATGAGCGAGTATCGGAAATCATAGTTGCTCAAATGAGAAGATAGGGTTTGGAAGATGGAGAAAGCCGGCGAGGGATCAGGAAACGGAGAATCCGACGGCGCTGATAGAGAAGCCGATAACAAAGCTGTCGGAAGTAAAGCATCGGCGACGGCGAATAGTATCGGAGCAGAGAAGAAGAGAAACGATATAATCATAGTAACCAAAAAGAAGACCGTTTTGAATCCTCTCAAAGCTCTCTTACTTCTTTCATCTTTCAAAAACCCCATGCTTTCAGTTTTTCCGGTAGTGGGTATTTTCTGGAGTTGAATTGAGGTATAAAAATGGAGGTACGGAAATGGGGAGGAAATGGGGGCGGAGGACGGAGGATAATGACCGGAAAAGCAAAGACTTGGGGGAAATGAATGGGGGGAGAGAAGGGTCAAATAGGCAGGCATTGTGGGTGTGGAATTGTTTAATAGGAAAACCGTATGAAATGTGTGTGGGGTCATCGTCATATGTTTAAGTGAATCAAATTAACGGCAATTACCTAATCATCTTCTTAACTGCATTTATTGTTCTTCTAGAAATTATGTTTTATTTTTTCATTTTCTTTGGGATCGTTTACCTAAATGTTTATCCGATAAGTGTTTATCTTTAGAAGTCAATATTGTAATTTATTTTACGGGGTAAAATTGTAGTACATCAAAATGATTACATATGCAACAATTTACCTGGTAAGCATTTACTTGGATAAGAGTCGTCACTCTCACTTATCGAATAAGACTATTCATCTTTATCACTGTTTTTATTAGGTACGATTTTTGACCCTTCTCATGTTCATCCGATTAGATAAATTATTCAGTAAGCACTTACCGGGTAAGTATTTAGTAAACGGCCCCTTAATTTTTGGTTTTTATTTATGGATGTAGCTCAAAATTAATACCTTTAAAAACGATTTGATTCGAACATGTGCAAAAGTGAATTTGTAGGTTCATTTAAGTTGGTTTATCATAACTATGTTTGAAAAAACAATTGATAAGTTGGTTAGTATTAATTAGGTTTTATAATTATATATATATATATATATATATTTATTATTATAATATTAAATAAGGTTTTTAGTGTATGGTCGAAATTGATTATTTTTTGTGTTCAATGAACCCATCTTTTTTAGTGTTTTATTTTTAATGATTGGGTTGGAGATGGTCTGGGAGACACTTATGTAAATATACTGCACATAATTGGAAATAAACTAGAAAAGATTTTCATAACTTATCTGAAATAGCTTTTCAAATACCTAGAAAAAATTTCCAATAAACTATTTATGGTGCCAAACATGGCCTAAGGCTTAACCGTTTACTAAATGTTTACCGGGTAAGTATTTACCGTTTAGAATCACCACCCTCACTTACCTTATCGGGTAATATTCTTGGTCTTGTTGGTAAACATCTTCTACCCGCAAAGGCTTTATCAAGTACAGGTAGTCAGTCTACCTCACTTATCAGATAAAATTTTCAGTCTTTGTTATGACTTTTACCAGTTAAGATTCTCGGTTTTTATCGTGTTCATTCTAAAAGATAAGTGTATCAGATAAATACTTAGATGATAAAAATTTCGTAAACAACACCTAAAAAGGGTTTTGCATTTTTTTATTCTTATTGATTTTATCATATTTTGTGTAGAAGTTTTTGCATTTAATATTATTAAATGGTATTTTATGGATTGGATTGTGGGTAGAAGAAATTATTTTGAAATTAGTGTTAGATTAAATGTTGTATTCAATTTTATGTTTTAGTAATAATTTTCAAGATGTCACGTTTTTTTTACTTTTAAAAGATTTTTATAGTAAATGCTTGTCAAATCATTCCACTATATCAAATACATATAACGTATTACAATTTGTTGTCCACCAATTTTAGTAAAATAATCATGGGTGTAAATGATGCGAGTCGAGCTCCGGTATCAATATATTTGACTTAAACTCGATATTCATTTCTTAAGCTCGAACTCGACTTGAACTTGATTGCAATTTTTTAAACTCGAGCTCGAGCTCGAACTTGTTTGAAGCTCAACTCAAATTCAAATCAAGCTCAAACCAAGTCCTTCCGTTGAAATTTATAAAATTTTAGGGTGTTCTTTTATAAATCACAAACTTAAAGGTGTTCTCTTAAATTTTATAAAATTAAAGAGATTCACCTCAAATTTTATTATTAAAAAGACAAAGTTACAAACTACATTCACTCCCTCTTTTTTTATAACACATTTTTCATCATTTATTTACTATTTCTCTTCCAACGTGGAACAACTTCACCAACACTTCTATAGTTTTTCTTTTTATGTTTTTTCAGTTATGATTTTAATAAATAAAAATAATTGATTAGTTTTTATAATTAAAAGTGATTATATTTTTAAATTAGTTACATATATAAAAAATTGAGTATCTCACGAGCTTTTCGAGTCGAGTATTGGATAGCTTGACTCGACTCATTAATATGTCAAGTCGAGCCAGCTCAGGTCGAGTGTTGACCAAATTTTGACCAAGTCGATCTCAAGTAGCTCGTGAGATGTTTTATATCGTTTACACCCCTAAAAATATCAATATAAATTTATATAAAAACTTGTTAATTTTTTATTTACACATCAAACTAAATAGAAGTAAATAATATATGTATAAAATGATGATAAAACGAGAAAATAGTCAACTTACAAGGAATGCAAGAGTAGCCAAATTACATGTTATTTGTAAAACGTCTAAAAGGGCGTAAAGCGACTAGCCAACGCGAACAATGTCACGTGAGCACTCGTTTGTTCGATGACTAGTCAATACGACCCTGTTGAACGTGTTGTAATCATGTATGATTTAGTATATAATCAAATACGGTTTGGTCTTTTCTTAAACTTCTCATAAGTTGATTGTCTTTTCATTTAAACTCCGTAAGGGAACAGACTTTAGCCTGCTGGTTCTTGACTTTGACCTAAGTCTCTACCGTCATTTTTATTTTTGACAGAAAAATAAGGAGATGGCTCCATGTAGCTCTTGACTGCCTGACCCTTTGGGCCTCTCGAGGTACAGGTTCAACCAATGTCGTTAGTGATCCGACGGTGCTGAATGGAAAGGTCGTCGCCCAACGAATAAAAGGACCCTAAATATTTGTCAACAATATTGTCTTCTTGTATTTACATTAAATTTTTAAAACCAATATCAATTTCTAAAAATAATATAAATGTTGCGTATATATTTGAAGTTCGATTTTGATATTTCTTACGAAGTTTATTTAAGCATTAAAAAAAATCAGTTGACTATTAAAATCAAAAGAAGTCAATACTTGAAACTCAATAACGCGATATTTGTTTGATTTATAAAATTCTCATTTTGTTTTTTAAAAATAAAAGTCTTCTGTAGAAGTTTCCTTTTATTTTCTTATCAAATAAAAAATCACAACTGATATTTATATTACTACAAACAAATTACGTAGGCATCATCAAACTATACTTGAAACATAGAAAATAACATTTCATCTCTTTTAACGAAACTATAATATTTTAAAAATATTAAACAGTCAATTGATTAATGAACAAAAATAAAAGATTTGTTGAAACCTGTTAAAACTGAGCAAATACGAAATTACTAGGAAGTCGTTAAAACTGAGCCCCTCTACTTTTATTAAACTTATAATAGAAGTTGATGGTTGTGTTAGTTTAGATTGTTGGGTTAAGCTTCTTTGTTTTAAAGTGTCTTTTTTCAAATACTGCATTGGCAAAGTTTCCCTTTTTGCAACTCTCGAGTTTTAGGTTTCTATGAATTTCGTCTTTCTAAAATAGTTCAAATGAAAGCACCTATGGAAGGATTCAATCATCCAAACCCTTTATGAGATTAATAAGACTCACAACTTATTCAGTTAGCTATACATGACTATCTGATTGTGACTTGATGATATAGAAAGTAGTATATTCAATAAGCTTATAGGGAGAAGCTTTTGCCAGGATGCCAAGATTTTTCCCTTTCAATTAAAAAACATGATTCTTCTATCTATAAAAAAAGATCATTTCAAACAAAAATATTCTCAATTTATACAGATAGAGTAATCTACACTCACAACTTTATTCATACAAGACTTCAACCAAACAACCCCAAATTATGGTTCTTATTTTTATGATTTGTTAAAAACTGTGTTTATGTCCCTGTGGTTTCGAAATCACGCTTTTTGTCCCTGTGATTTGCATTTCATTGCAATTATCGTCCATAAGACTAACTCCTACCCTCAAGTATAAGAGACAAAACTAACAATGAATTACAAACCACAAAGACAAAAACAACAATAAATAATAAATCATATGAATGAAAACAACAATAAAATATAAACCACGTAGATGAAAATCATATTTGCAAAAGTATAGGAACAAAAATAGCAATTTTCAAGAAACCACATAAACAACAAAAAAATAAATTATTCGTCATTTTATCAAGTTTATCACAATGCTACACCAAAGTTGGGTTCCAATAAGCATGTTGAGAAAGATAAGAAATGATCTCCACCCTTAAATCAATTATAGTTGAAGATCAACACTAAGGAGATGCACCATATCCATTCACGTATCAAGCGCAATTCATGGGATGACGGTGAAATTAAAGTGATCGAAGGTCCAGATGCTTCTTATCTTCACTCTTATTCTCACATAATCATTCGTCTGCTACAATAATATTATAAAAATAAGAACATAATCCTTAATTTTTATTCGCAATTCACATGAAAAAGGAGATGCAAGCCTTCAAAATAGGAATCCATGACTACTCATACATTGAACCCATCAAAATCCCACAATTAAACACTTTAGAATCGATTATCTTCTAAGAATCCACATGTTGAAGATGGTTGACCAATTTGGTTGACTTGACTTTTCTATTGGTTGAATAAAACAAATCAAGTTTGTAACTTAAAACAAGAAATAGTTATTTCAAAATGCTTAGGCTTGGAAGATCCTCCCACATGCATTCCATTTCTTTTTTCAATTTTTTATTATTATTATTTTATATATTCTGTAACTTGTTTTTAATGTATTCATATTTCATAAAAGACATCCTTTTTATATTCTTTTAATCATATTTTAGTTTCATATATATTTAATTATTGATTAACAATCGAATAGTATTCAAAACTTTTGTTTAAACTGAATCAGGAAAAATAAAACCGGTTTATATTTGGTTTGGATCTTTTTAGATATGTTTTAGAGATTATTGAGATTTTTTAGAAACTGATTATTGGTCCAATCTGATACAAGACTCTAAAAAAATAAGTTATTGATTTCTATTTATACTTGAAAAACAATATCCTATTGTATTCGCTTTAAAACCTGATTCAATTTACTACTAAAAAGTGGGGGTTTTCCGATGGCAAT